CAACACCAACACCAACACCAACACCAACACCAACACCAACACCAACACCACATTATGCCGGTCCGGAGCAAGACCTGAATCCTGAACGCTCGCGTTCTCCGACGCCTTCTGGCCCAGGTGAGCTGAAGGAAGGGCCACCGCCTAGAGGACCTTTCGGCTTCAGCGCAGCCTCCAAGGCACCGACCGTTTCGGGCACCGACGTTCGAATGAGTTCGACGGAAAAAGCGTTTGGACCGGAGCGGGAAACGAGCACGTGCTTAGTATCGCCGGCGGAAGCTGTGGAGGATTGCTGGAGGTTTGGCGCGGGAAATGAGCACCGAAACTGGATCGAGGACTGCGTGGAGGACTTTTGCATGGGTTTTGCCTTCCAAGCAAGCAAGCATCTGTGCCAGGAAGCGTTGCATGTGAGTTTGTTGGCTTTGGCCTTGGAGAAGACCCAAGTGGGGGAAGGCGCGGTTGACGAACCCTTCGGGCCGCGGGCCAGCGCTCGCGCTCGCGGCAGCTCGAGAACGGGTCGCACACGTGCCGCTCGGATCATACCCTTTTTAACGTCACAAGCGACGGATGGGTCCCGACAGATCTCGGCGCACGGCGCACGAACACGAAGACCTGACACGAAAGTTCTAGCGGCACAAGCTTCATATTTTTTAAAAGATGACACGCTTGTGGCCCATGAATGTTTTTTTTGTGTTCCCAAACCAGATTCTTCATGACAATACATAGATATGACCACCAAAAACGTTTGAAAGTAACAGCCCCCCCCACCCAGAGAGACTGGCCAATGTGTTCCATATAGACAGGTCTTCTGTGGATTTGATTTGCCTCAATCCAACCAACCTAGCTACCTAGCTACCAACCAAAAACCGGCTCATGCATCCCGTTGTTGTCTCCCCGAAGAGCGAGGGCGGCTGCGCTCGCGTCGATCCGGTTGCTCCACGCGCTCAGACGTGGCTCCGCTCATTTACAGCGACGAGGAGGCACTGGACATCCTGGAGAAGAAGGTGCGGTATCACATCGAAGGGCGCCAGGTGTTTTTGGTCGGGGAGGAGCTGGGGGTTGGGTTGTTTGGTTGGACTTGGACTTGG